CCAATTGAATTTTTTGAACGAAAGCCTCATTTTAACTAAGGAAGATGTTGATCAGACACACCGTTAAAGAAAAAGGCAAAATTTTATACGCAAAGAGACTATTTCGCGAGTTGCTTTCGCTACAGTTTTCGCTTAGATACAGCAGGCTTGCTTTTAAGAATTTATTCTTTGGAGTGTTGATGGGCTCCTGGAGTATTTAATATTAGGTGGTTTTCATGCAATCTCGTGAGACACGAATAACAATGGTGAAATGAACAAATGCTGGTGGACAAACAAAGCGCGCTAATGAACGATCTTTTGTTTACCGTCCACCAGCATGGCGGCGATGACGTAACGTGAAAAACCACCTATAGTCGGAACTGCCGAACTTCTTGTCCGTTCTCATAAATCCCAATGAAAATTGTGTTTGCAGACACAAATGAAGTCTCACGCGCGAAATTATTTTTGGTACTGTTGTTGTGAAAAATCATTTTTTTCCTTTCCTAGAAATATTTTTCTTTCAGAAACAGCTTGCTTGCTTGCTTCCAAAGCAAAACTTGCGTTGGAGGTTTATGTTGTTGAGCGAAGGTCAATTATCAGGTATATCCACGGCCGGACAAAGTTTAGTTAACTACTACTTTCTCCCCTCGCCCCTTTCCCATCGTTTTACTGTTCGTTCTGGATTTAGCGCGTGGGGAAAAAAATTACAGAAAAAAAAAAAGCTAAAACACCAAAAAATCAATGCCACGTACACTTTTTGCCTCTACAACTCGTGCGACAGCTGTGATGCATGATGGACAGTACCAGCCCCGCCCACTTAAGCAGCCTAGAAACTAGAATTTCTTCGAACTTGTTGCGATTGCGAGCATTTTTTTTCAGTGGAACGTATTCTGGCCTTAACTGTTCTAAAATAACTTTGAAGAATTCGTTTTTAGTTTATCGGCGTTTCTGGAGGTCGGTTTAACTTATTTTTGACAAAAAAAAGTTGTTCCTCTCCTTCATTTGGCTCTCTGGTCGCGTCTGAGACGACAACATGCACGAGGTTATTGGTAATTCTATGAGGATGTTATTTTTTATCTTCGCATTTTGTCCATACGGTCTGTTCTAAATAGTGCTTTTTTTAATCCTTAAAGTCATCCAGTTACAAATGGTAGAAGACAACGAGACAACGAGAATTAGGTAAGTACAGTGTGGCTGTCATATCATTCTTCCATAAATTGACCGTGATCGTCAAGCGGCAACGAAAACCACTTGGTCTCAAGAGGAGGCGAAGTGAATGGTATTTTCGCTTTAATTTTAATTTGGGGCCTGTTAACATAGAGTTGGGGGACCCAGGAAGGTGGCGGGTCACCCCAAGTATGATGTAAACGTGATCAAATCGAAATGAGAGATTATATCATAGTTGGCCCCACCTAAGCGGGTTACCTCACCTTCTAAGCATAGCGATCTCCCAGGTTACTACTCCCTCCGTCTAAAACTTCAGGGGCACCCAAGAATATGGTTCAAAACCCCTTAAGCATAGCATGGTTAAACGTATTTTAGTGTTAAAACGGTAGATATAAGCATATTTTTATCACCTAAAAGTTTTTTTGTGTGTGTTCGGATTTCCTACTTCCCTACTTCAACCTTCAACCTTCAACCTTCAACCTTAGCTTTTAGTCTTAAAGGTCAGTGACAAGGGGCGCTTTCCATTTACTCAAAATTTCCGGAATTTCCGGTTCGGCGGTAAATGGAACACGTTTCGTCGGTTCGTCCCACTGGAAAATTCCCAGAAAAAGTGGAAAATCTAAAAAGGTGGTCCCGTTTTCCCGGTTGGAATTTCCGAACGGAATCTCGTGTTCCATTTACGTTTCTCGTAGTTTGTACCAGTTCCAGGTCCACGGTCGGGCACCGCCATGTACCGGGGTTTACGACCAAATGGAACAACTTTTTACCAATCGGCTTTTCCATTTTTTCTAAATGGAAAGCGCCCAAGTTTGACAACCGTTAACAGCGCCAAAGATTTTTTGTTGTCAATTTTTTTATTTGTGCTTTCCACTCATTACTCAAGAGTGAATTCGTCTATCGCAAATTGGATTGCATTATATTATTGGGCTCCAACTGAATTTTTTGAACGAAAGCCGAACGTCTTGTCCGCTTTCATAAATCGCAATGAAAATTGTGTTTTGCAGACACAACTAAGTCTCACGCGCTAAGTTATTTTTGGTTATGTTATCGTGAAAAATCATTTTTTTCCTTTCCTAGAAATATTTTTCTTTCAGAAACAGCTTGCTTGCTTGCTTCCAAAGGAAAACTTGTTTTGGAGGTTTATGTTTGAGCGAAGGTCAATTACCAGTTATCCACGGCCAGACAAAGTCGGTTACTGGGCGGGTTTACCGGTAATTTTTCTACTTCTTCCTCCCCTCGCCCCTCTCCCATCGTTTTACCGTTCGTTCTCGATTCAGCGCGTGGTTGTATCTCTTACTTTGACGAACCAAGACTAACGAAAAACTTACAGAAAAAAAAAAAAAACGAAAAATCAACTGCCACGTACACTTTTTGGCTCTACAACTCGTGGGACAGCTGTGATGCATGATGGACAGTACCAGCCCCGCCCACTTAGTAGCTTAGAAACTAGAATCTCTTCGAACTTGTTGCGATTGCGAGCATTTGTTTTCGGTGGAACATATTTTGGCCTCAACTGTTCTAAAATAACCTTGAAGAATTCGTTTTTCTTTTATCGGCGTTTCTGGAAGTCGGTTTAACTTATTTTCGACAAAAAAAGTTGTACCTCTCCTTCCTTTGGCTCACTGGTCGCGTCAGACAACAACACGCACGAGGTTATTGGTAATTCTATGAGGATGTGATTTTTATATTCGCATTTTGTCCATACGTTCTGTTCTAAATAGTGTTTTTTTTTTAATCCTTAAAGTCATCCAGTTACAAATGGTAGAAGACAACGAGACAACGAGAATTAGGTAAGTACGGTGTGGCTGTCATTGACCGTGATCGTCAAGCGGCAGCGAAATCAACACGTGAGTCTGGCGTGGTTTTCGTCTTCATACTGATTATGAAACATTCAAAGCTCTTGCTAGCGACCACTTATTTAACCGTATTGGAAAAACGTTTGTCAAATTCCCCCGGTATGTTGGCAGTTTAGATGGTAAAATGCCCCACCGGCTAGTACTTCAAAACGCTTTGAATCCACCAGCGATTCCATTCCTGTGAAATCTCTAAGGTACCAAGATGGAATCATGTGTAAAGAAAATTTTATGCAAAGCCTCGATCTGTGTGTTCCCATCTTTATTTGATACAGCTGGGGTTTCCTTTTTGAGATACCTTTTTTTAATGGGAATGTGGAATGCTCAAACTTAAACGGTATATCCCCAAAAAAATCCAGTCTAGCCACCTTTAATATGGAACTAAAGTACTACGAAATACTACTCACTGAGCTCTTAGATTTAGTGTACATATGCAATTCATTCTATAAAGGGCGCTGTAACGTGAATAGTGATGTCATGTTATTTTACTGATGTATTGGTTTGTTTTATCTTTAGAATATTTCATGCATACATGGTGGCCAGAAGACGGAATATTTGATTCCACCAGGTATTTAATATTATTTTAAGCTCAGTATTAAAATCAGCTTTTCTATTTCTACCAATTTAACTTATAGTTCATAAAATAAAAAGAAAATTCCGTATTAGCTTGAAGATATGAATTTTTATGTTAATATATTGAGGAATCCAAATTTTCAATATACACAGCCAAGAATGAGAATTTATGATCTGCAAATTATGCTTACCAATGTCTCACTCACTATGCTGCTTAGGTCCATGTCCCCAGAACTGTCTTCATCTGAATCAAAAACCATTTCTAAAAATAAGAATAAAATTGGAATAGAGGTCAATAAATAGAATCAACTTTAAAACATTCAATTTTTTTTTAAAATCACAACACATTTATAACTGATTACCTGCATTGGAATTTCCTTTACTGTTGGATTGTCCTTCTTTTTCTTTCTAGTGTTTTTGAAAAATAATGCACATTAATGCCAATAACAAAGCAAGTGAAACATAAGGTATTAATTTAAATCGAACATAAACAATTGAAAGTCGAACATTGCATTCAACAATCAAACATAAAACCAGTTTCATCTGGTTTTAAACAACGTGTTGCATTCAAATAAGTTATGTATTGGTTTCAATTTCAAACGTGAGTACGCAAAGATCTCACAGAGGGAAAACACTGAAAACATGAAAAACAATTTTCGAAGCGATGGTTATAAATGCTATAATGAGTGCTCTTTTGCTGTCGGTGTTTGTGAAAAGATTCTTATTAAGAAGAAAATGGGAGATTCAGTTCTGCAGGTAACTGACCATTCATGCCAAGCCCAACTTGGACATTGACTTGGACATTTCCAACATGAAACGTGATCTGGTGCCTGTGCTTGCATGTTTTGCCAGTATTTGAATTTATCGATTTTGAATCACTTAAACAATAAAGATTTTAGTTAATTCTGGGTTACCGGTAATTGAAATATTTTTGTTTTCAAACTGCTTCAAATACATATACTAGAGGGAGACCTTTCCGATTCAATTGACTTGATGTGTTCAGTCTTTTTTAGTCTGCCAAACAATCAAACTAATTGCATAGATTAAGTTCAGTTGGTTCGATTGAGTGCAGTAATCAAATTAAACTCTCAAGTTCGATTAATCATCGAACTCACTGAAAAGTTCCAGTTCGATTATGTTTGATTGCCAAAGTAATCGAACAACAATCTGACCAAGGGGTTTCGTTTGAGTTTGATTGATTTTGGTTTGATTTCATTTGACTGACTAAGCCGGGATTCCCTCGTGATTTTTTCACCCTTTCCACAAACCGAGAGCCTGTTCACAGGCGAAAGGTTAAAAAGGGGGATTCTTCAGAATGGCCTCATAACCAGATCTATTTTCGTTTATCTCCTAGATGGGTCTATGTAGGCGGGGGGGGTCAGTGTTTACTGCATACATATTACACAGCTATGTAAGTGAGCTAATTGACTATGACAAAACAATTAAACTTACATCCTCATAGTCACTTGATACATCACTGTCATCTCCATAACTTTGTTTTTGCCTTTTTTTTCCAAATACTAAATATAAATGATAAACAAGTAAAAGTCTAATTAATGTCTGGTTAGTAATGTTTAAAAAACTCTAATGTTATTTCATATAAGACAAAGCTTGAAAATACATCATTTTCTTTATCAAGGCCTTATCCACCATGGAAACCTCACTCTTTTGCATTTTACAGTCACATTTCTATTGTAAAGTAAGCAATTAACTCCTGAAATTTGGCTTCTAAATGGTCTTGGAAGGGGAATGAAGGGCCTTATTATTGCTTAATTGTTAAAAATAAAAGCTTATCATGTAAGCGTACTTCGAGATTGTCCAACCGTTAATCTGGGATACAGAGGCGGATCAGGGATTTTTTAATGGGGGATGGCTCCGATACCAATCGGCCACCAAACTATACATTGATTTATTTCAAGTTGTCCTACGTTTGTCCCAAAACAATGGCGGTTTAGGAAGGATGAATTGGAGACTGTAACATTGCAAAGTCTCATATTAGATGTCCTCACTACATTGTATACTTCTGATGCAGTAATTGAGCAAGTTCCAGGCATTAGTAATAAATATCCTAAATGAGTGCCAAAGGCGCAAGCTTCCAGGGGTTCTGGGGGCATGCATATTTATTTATGAATAATCGGACCGATTTTCATAGAAGGTTTCAAAGCGGTGTGCATGATCAGCACCTGAGCTCTAGTGTGGCCTCTTTAGACTTAGAGGAATAAGAGCGCAGAGCTTATTAAGGGCCCTCTTTTCGTGAGCAGATTATGTCAAGGAAAGATATTGTCACTGGTACTTTTCGCGTTTTCTTTGGGACCCACTTATTTTTGTATGTTTTTCATGTATATTTTGGTTGGCTAGCCACCCAATCCGTCCCCCCCCCACTGCTGGATCTGCCCCTGGAATACCATCACCAAAATGCATTGACCGAGAAGGTCTAGCTGGTGAGAAGATGTCTAGCAGGCAAACATATGAACACTGGAGAGAACAGGAAACAGTGTCCCTGTATTATACTTATGTATATGGTGAAAAACCTAAGCCATTAGTTATGTTCTTAGCTTAACAGGACATAGCTTTTGTAACTTGTTTATTATCGATAAGGACAAATTTCATAGTAAGGCTGCAGGCAGTGATGCTATACAATAGTTCAAATAATGTCCTGTGCATGTATCTTCAAAAAAAAGAACTGCAATGAATATCTCCAGCTGGTTTAACTTTTAGCCTAAAATTAATTTCATTTAATGAAACTGTCATATGAGTACTCAAACCTCTATCCATCATAGTATTTCGTTTTGATGCTTTAAGAGACTGCAGATGCATCTCATCCTGGTACGAAAAATAGGTAGTTTTTTATTATTTATGTGGCCCAGTATAGGTGGCATTTCAAAAAATATTTAGGGTTTTCTGTGATTCTTAACTCATGTCTAAATGTGATGATCCAGAAGATTACTTTGGATCATAATACATTCAAATGAATCAGTGAATCCTTTCCCAAAGTGGATTTGTTGGGTCCTTGTGATGTGCTATTGATCCAACACAAGTGACTTCCTTAATCAATGGAACACACTCATGGGGCAATGGCAAAATTCAAGTTAAGAATTTCTCAAACTAAAAAATAAGCAGATATAAATGCTGTTCAAGACAATACTTATGGATAAAACTGATGTGCACGTGATAACTACAAAGATTTCTGAACAAGTAACATTAACAGTAAATTAATATGGTACTTAAATTTTTCTTTTTGACTGCTCATGATTTAAGGACGGTGCCCATGCACTATTATTGTTACTGCGCACATTTTCTGCGCATTCCAAGAAAGAAATTAAATGCGCAACATGCAGGACACACGGACTGGTTTTGTCTCCTGTAAGTCTGGGAGGTTCTAGTTATTTCTTGTGGAAAAGATGCATTGTTTTTAACAGGTGAAAAATAATTTCTATTTACCTTGTCAGTTCTTTGAAAACCGAAGAAGTATGCGCATGTTGCTATTTCTGCTGTATGATCAATCTGACTGAACATTTCATATAGTCAAACAAAAGTCAATTCTTAAACATCAAAAGTTATGGCTTCAAGATGTTAGGTTTGGAGCTTTGGTATTAATAGGTAAGGATCAGTAAATCAGAAGGAAAATAGCTCCAAGTCCTCCGCTTAATCGAGAAACTGCAAGCTTACCTTTCACTTGCATCCTTCGCATTTTATCAGCTAAACGGCTATAAACACTTTCCCAATTGTTTCTTTAATTTTGTAAGATTTTCTGGTCACCAGAACACAGAGTTAAAGCGTTCAAGTACATACAGATGTCCCTTTTATTGAGAGTCTGAGGCTTTTATTTGTTGAACAAACAAGAAAAAAACAAGATTGCTTGGATCGCTTAGATCACAGCTTCACAAATAGTTGCATACCGCAAAGGAAAAGCTTTCATCGTGGAAAAAATCGTAAAAAATTGTTTTGCTTTTTACTATTATCATTGTTATTTAAGCATTTTGGCATTACTAAGCATTGAAATTATTGACTCATTGGCAGCTTATCGTGTAGATAGTATTTCTTAAGGTTCAATTTCATGCCACACATGCATAATCTGGACATTTAGACATGGCTGCCATTTGGCTGTTTACAAACTAAAGATGGAAGGTAAAATAAAATATTTCCATTCTAAGACTTTCTTACAAATGTAGGTTTAACAGACACAGTTGTTAAGTTTAAAATTAACATTTAGGAACGAAAAATAGTGAATGATCATGACACAGAACTGATGACGTGCTACAGTAAAAAAAATCAAAACGAAAATAACATATAAAATGATCCTTAGCCCAGTTTATATATGAGGGTACATAAACACATTTGGTACAACTATTTTCGCAGTATTCAGCTTTTTTAAAAGAGAGCTCATGTATCGAACTTGAGTCTATGCAAATCATTTAAGTCATATGACACTTGTGGCAAACCCGAAAGAGATAGTGCAAACCACAGATATATAAGCTCATTGAACGTATGCAAGTTTAATAACATCTTTGATCGAGGTACCCGGTAAAATGATAAAAAACAATAGAAGGTTTACAATCCATATTATATCTACAGTTCAAAAAATCTTGATGACATATACAGGTAAGCAAACGATTGAAGAGGTACCTGTCTAAGAGTCCCTGTTGACTATTTTCCACTACGTATACAGTATAGTAGTTTGTTTACAGCGCCAGCCTTGGCTCTTGAGCTCGCCATACTACTCTATATGCACTGGAAGTAATCTTTAATACCTTCAAGATTGCTCTTCTCCAAAAATGTTTGTTAAATTTTTGAGACGGACAAGCTCCAGTTGAATGAAATAGTGTTTTCCTTAGAGTCCATGAAATGTCGTGCTTTACTTTCTGGTTTTGCTCTCCTCGGTGGGTTTTTGTTCTCTGTGACTGTTAGCCATTTTGGATATCCCAGAGTACTCCGCGTTGAGTGAAGCAATAGTAAAACTGACCAGGGAGGGAATGGGAAAAATTGTAAATAACCCCCAAAGCGATTAAGTTAAGGTCGAAACCAACCAATTTAAGTTCTAAAAATGCGTGGTAACCCCTACTTTTTATCTTCCCAAATGAAAGTAATAAGCCTACTCAGCAAACGATCAATTTTTGGTTCGGGGAAAATGTCATTTACACCATTTTTAAGGCAAATGCGTGGAGAGGGGTAACTGCTGATAACTTCCTAGTTGTCCTGGTGTTTAAAAAAAGGACGTATAAAGAGCAGTTGTTATGTTATCATTTGTTGCTTATTTTGAAACCTTGTTACAATTATCATTGCATTTGTGCCAGTTCACGTGTACACTCTGAAATTTTGGGACAAAATAACTTTTTATCATTTTTCTAAAAAATGCCTATTCAGCGTTTTTCTCCATATTGAAGCTCAGTTATCTCTGAAAAATGCGAGGTTACCCCCAGTTTTCTTTTTGGATTTCAATAGCCCCTGATATGATCTACTTGTCTCAGATAGTCATACCTGGGAAAAAAAACTTCCCATTAGTGGGCGCCGTCCTTAAGTCGGGTAATTGTCTGAGCAGTTTAGATATTTCATTGGTGGTGACTTTAGGTCCAGAGTATATAGTTACACATTTTAAATTTGAGTTTTTCCCTTGCAGCCTTATAATGTTATGTTATTATAACCTTGTATGGACAAATGAAATTTATTTATTTTTTAAACTTACATGAGTATCATGGGCACTGCTGGTCTTTTCATGCTGGTTTGATGACCTCATCACTGCACAGAACAGAAAATAAAATAAATGAACAAAGTCCATCAGTTAGTATTAGATTTTTGAATAATTAAAGAACAATCCACTCCTAATATTTCCTGTACTTTACTACCTATAGTATAGTTTTTATAGATATTATTTTGCCATCTTTTTTCGCAGTAACCTAACATTACGTGTTGTATTAAAGTAACCAAATTTATATCGTAGCTTAATTTTTGACTGATTAATCCTGGAGTGCAAGACTCTTTTTTTTTAGGGTTATAGAACCTTTTTGACCTGCTGTTTACTTACAACAGGGTTTTAAACGATATTGAATGATAATTATTTAATACAGAACTGCTAATTCAGATTCACCTTAAGATCATTTGATGAACAACAGCTATAAAATATGGTGCTATACACACAATGTACAATTCTGTATATTTTTTGGTTTAATGTTTCATTTTTGAGCTATCCAAACAGAAAATAATTGTCCATAACAATGATGTATGAAGTACGTGTATTGCTATATGATAAATATCAGACTTTTCAAAAAAGACCTTGTGACTTCTACTCCAAGACTGTAAGCTCTTAACAAAACAAAACTATCGCGATAATTTAATCTTGACAAGTCTCAAGTCAAGTTCCATGTAGAAGGGAGTTCGAGTTCAACCATGTCACATGACATAAACACGTGATAATTGTCCAGACGCGTATAATGTAATGCAACTCGAAATGTCACTAACAGTCCTTTGTCTAATTTTATATTGAGCTGGAGACCTATCACTCACTCGTGCACTTTGCTCTGCTTGCTTAAACTTACAGTGAGGCCGACTTTTTTTTGTGGCAAATCTATTGATAATAATAATAATCCCTTATATATGTTGAGAATTTGAAGTTAAATAGAAATTTAAAATTTAAGGTGTTAAAATATAACTCAAACCTGTTGTCACAGCAACAGTCTGTCTTTTTCTTGTGGCTGCTTGTATTTGCTCTCCATTCTATATAACAAGATCCGTTAAAAACAAGTTATTAAACTCAAATGTAAAGAGCAAGAGAAACTCATTCAAATTTCCATTTATTTTATTGCTTTTGTAATAATTATTATTCTTTTTGTTTATTAACTATTATTATTTAATTACCTATTATTTAATCACCACGAAATTCGGGGATTTGATAGTACACTGATTAATAATTTATTATTGATGTACTAAAAAAAGTTTTAATAAAATCTATCAACGAATCTTGTTTGAATCGCTGTTTTCATGAATTAAAGGAGCCTTAGAAATTACAAAAAGAGCTCTGCATTGCATTTTACCCTGATTCAATGTTTTTCGAAATCGTGCAAGTTTACTTGCTTTCAGCGGCGTCTAGAGTGTTTAAGGGTCATTTGCAAAATGAATAAGTGAGAAAACCGAAGAGTAGCAAATTTGTCTGCATTAAGTCCAGTCTTCAGTGCATGTATAATTTATACCTTTTTTATAGAAATTCCAAGATATCTCAAAATTCCTCTTACAGATTTTTGTGAAACTTTGCACAGCAGAAGACATTTATCTAAAGAAGACGTAGCGTAAAGCATTTCAAAAGAAAATGCCGAACATGCATGGCTGAAATTCGATTTAGAGCTAAAACATTGTGACATCATTGCTGCATGACATTTATTCTGATCGCCCCAAAAAATAATACCAAAATAAGTTTAGTGTAAGTGTAATCCATTGTGTCGTAATCGTTTTACAACACAGATCGATTTGTTTAAGTATAAGAGATTCAAAGATGGAGAGGGCTATAAAAATACTGGGTCAAGACACCTAAACTCTTATTTCAACTTACATTGCTGCTAGCGCTGTTAGCACCAGCACATTGGGTTTTTTCTTTGTGATTCTGCAGTGCTGTCTCCTCCACTAATTATTTCAATAAAACTTAAATGTCAGTATAAATTAAACCAACATTTTTTTTACCTAAATGTATATACCGGTAGAATAAGAAATAATGGCTGTTGTTGGCTGGATAAAATTTATGGCTTAATTTTGGCCTGCGTAGCAAGCGTTTCATCGAGAAAGTTGGGACAAAACCAAAAAAGAGGAATGAAGGGTGAGGAGGGGAAAGAAGGAAATTCTTGTTCGCAAACCGACAATTTTGAAAACCTGTGTCTGTCCACAAACACAGCTTCTGATTGGTGCTCTACTGGTATTGGTGTTGACTAAAGAGTGATCAATACATCCAACCAACCAGGCATATTTTGTCTACGTGCGCTGAGATCTGTTCTGATCTGAATTGTTTCAACTGATATTTGCAAAACCCACTCATATAGACAAATCATTTCTTTGCGCATCATTAAAATATTTCTGTGTATTCCATTCATTCTTAGTGGAAGTCCAAGTGAATGCTAGGGACATACATGCAACGCATGCATAATTACAACTTGGAGATTAGGATCGTAGCTCCTCTTGTCGCCCGCAATTACTATTAATATAAATTCTATTAATTTAGTTTATATCCAACAGTAGCTATAAGTTAAGAGTGGTTATTCCTATGGACAAGCCAGCTTTTAGAAACAGCCACAAAAAGAAACAGAGACGTGGAAAAGTAAGAATTATTATTGAAGATGATTGTTTTAAACAAACCTTCAGTGTCAATGACGTGTCTCATAGTTGCAGCACCAGATTTTAGTTGCTTTGTATTATGCTAAAGTGTAATGCAAAAGTTAATATTTTTATTTCAATTTGGTTAGGTCAACTGTACATAGTTTTACCATCAGTGAGTATAAATTATATTATTATTCATTCAAAATATTTCCCTAATTCTGATTGGCTAAAGGCACACGCATAATTCACCATAACCAGTTTCTGATGACCAAATTTGTGTTTAGTGTTGAAATGAATGCAGCGTTCTTACAGGTTAAGGCACCATGGGAACAAGTCTGAGTTGTTTTGGTTGTGAAAATAAAGATGGCACTTCACTCGTTTCAAGAGTAAGAACTACAGCTGCAACTAGGCGAAAAAATAGCTAAAAACATTGCAAAAACAGCAAGAAGACAACTCCAAGGGTGACATCTGCTATTTGGAGAATATTTGCGGAGCTGGACTTAAACCTAAAGGTACACTATCGAAGATGAACTTAGCATCAATGCAGGTATATTAGCATGTTTTAGCTATGTTTTTAAACTAAGAATTATTTTGAATGAATCATAAAGCAATTAATGAATTCGGCTTTTGTAGGATATAAAAAATTAAGCAGATCTCGGAGGGTGTTATCCACCGAGGCCAATCTGCTTAATTCTTCATATCCTACAACAGCGGAATTCATTAATTGCTAATTTATTAACTAAATAATAGTAGTGACAACTTGAGTAACCATTTTAAATGCAGAAAATTATATTTTTATGCAAGAAACATATAATAGTAGAAAAAAGGTTAACCTGCCAAAAAAATAAATGCTTTAACTCTTATTTCAACTTACATTGCTGCTATTAGCACCAGCACATTGGTTTTGTTCTTTGTGATTCTGCTTTGCTGTCTCCTCCACTAATTATTTCAATAAAACTTGATTGTCAGTATAAATTAAACCAACATTAAATATTTACCTATAAATGTTTATAAGAATTAATGGTCATAATAAGCATTATTAATTGTTGCTGCTCCTGTATTGAGGTTTTTTATTCATTAAAACTGTTTGGAGGAGCTTATACATGAAGGTGCTTAATTATTATAGATGATAGTTTTAAACAAACCTTCAGTGTCGATGACTTGTCTCACAGTTGCAGCACCAGACTGTAGTTTCTTTGAATTATCCTAAAGTGGTAATGCATCACTAAATGTTTACATTTTAATTAGGTAGGTCAACTGTACAGTTTTACCACTACAGTAGTTAAATTATAATTTATACCAGAAAAATAATAATTATTAAAAAAACATCCTGTACCTTAACTGTCGAAAACAGTTAAGAACTGGGAGAAGAGCAATTAAAAAAAATATTATATCCATTGGTTTCAAAACAAGCTGGTGACTGCTGGAGTTCTGCCGGCTATAACTTGATTGTATGTCACCCGCTACTCTTCAGGGACCTTGCAGCCCTCCATGCTTTGTCACAGCTGCCTACCTTTCCACAGTCAGCTGTCTATTTCAGAACAGTTTGAAACCCCTCACTGGAAAGAATCACTGTTACCACAATTTTTGTGATTATACATTAACATGTGTATAGGTTAGTTTTTTCTCAGTTTGCTTTCTTTCCCATCCCTAATTCATGAATAATCAACACATAATTATAAAATCACACTAAAATATTTTGCCCTAAGACTGGTCCTTTGTTTATATCTTTCAATGCATTAAAAAAGAAACATAACAGAGAGAAGGTTGACCTGCCAAAACATAAATGTTTTAACTCTTACTTTAACTTACATTGCTGCTGTTAGCACCAGAACATTGCAGGTTTTGTTTTTTGTGATTCAGCCGTGCTGTCTCCTCCACTAATTATTTCAATAAAACTTGAAGGTCAGTATAAATTAAACCAACATTAACCTATAAATGTATGTAAGAATTAACGGTCATAGTAAGCTTTATTAATTGTTGCTGGCCCTATATTAAAGCAATTTTACTGTCACGCCAGTAAAATGTAGTTAATGGAACGTGACGCTAGTTATCAGTAACCCATTCATGGCGGCTCTTTTTCAGCAAAGCAATTGTGTAGTCAAGCTGCCAAGGTCAGCGAACTCTAAGATGCATTGTATTCTAGCGTAGAACTTTATGGCCTTGTTGTCTTAAGCAGGCTAGTACGAGCCACAGCATTGGCCAATATTTTCAAAGCACTATTCATGGCTAAGAGTTTGCACATGCAACGCTGAGCTGTCTTGTAGTACAGCCTTTGCTACTGGCTATGCCAGCAGACATGCGTCTAGCTATAAAAGCCTAGAACAACTGTTCAGAGTTCACTTGGGTTCCAGTGTTCAGCAAGGTTTAAGTGCTCAGTATACTATTCTTGTAAAATTTTTCCCTCCCTCCCTTTGGAGACGAGGTTTGGGCTTTGTTTTGTGCTATGCCTTCAAATAAACTAGGGACACTCCTGCGTGGTGCGGTTAAGTCTGCGCAGCGACTTCCCCCAAGCTTGTTGGGCCGCATTGCCATTTAATATCGCCTGCAAACCGATACTCTTGTCTGATCCAGCACGTGCTGTATTGCATTCAGCTCGTAGTGCTGGGGAGATAAGTGAGGTTCTTTGCCCATGCCATCGCCGGAAGTCGCACAGGCTAACCTAGCGCAAGGCAGTGCTCCCCCATTATCGCCAACTTATCATTATTTGTTCTATAATTAAGTCACTTCGCGTTTAGCATGCATCATAAAGGAGCAGAGACATTAATTAAGGTCTTTTTGCGTTACATTAAGTTTTTAGGGACTTATATTTGGAGGAGCTTATACATGAAGGTGCTTAATGCAGGAATTTATTATTGATGAGAGTTTTAAACAAACCTTCAGTGTCGCTGACTTGTCTCACAGTTGCAGCACCAGACTGTAGTTTCTTTGAATTATCCTAAAGTGGTAATGCATCACTACTGTAAATGTTTTCATTTTAATTAGGTAGGTCAACTGTAAGTTTTACCATGACAGTAATTATAATGTATACCAAAAAAAATAATAATTTAAAAACATCCTGTACCTTAACTGTAGAAAACAGTGAAGTACTGGGAGAAGACCACTTTTCTTTACAATTTAGCAGTAACATCTTTAACCCTTTACCCCTCCCCTTCCAGGTAAAACAGACGACATAACTGGGCTAATGTGAAGAAACTTCAATGTTTTTTAATGACTTTGAGATTGTCCTTACACAAAGTAAGATTTGTGCAACAATTTATTTTTTTAATTCCTTACCAGTAAGATGATTTAAACGATAACAATATTCTCTAGACAATGATCAACTGTTATTTGCAGCCCTGCCCCTTTGAGAATTTGATAGCAACATTAAATGAAGAAATTGGGAATTTAATTACAAGTGGTGTTACGTTATCATCCGAGACGTTGCAATAATATAAACACATTAAACGAGTGTGTGCCATTTTGTAAAGTGAGAAGTTAATAAAAGCTAATTAGGAAATTGAAGCATTTTAAGGTTTGTGTTTATTTCTCTTAAAATTGGAATGCAGCAATCAAAATATTGTAGCAATCAATGAAAATACCAGTGAAAAGGTCATTAATGTCTCCCTCACTTTGCAGTTGATCTAAGTTCACAGCTTTAAGAGATGTCCCTTTGTTGGAAGTACTTTTCAGTTTGTTTTTTGTGACAAATGTAATTCTGCCATTCTTACATATCATTCTCAAAGATCATTACACCATTAAATACTATTGGTTTTGGTTATAATTCCACTTCACTTACATTGTTACTTTTGTTGGCCTCCTTGTGATCTTCTTTGCCATTGTTTTTCTCATTGTTTTTCTCTGTAAAATGGGATTAGTTTTTGTTATACTGCATAATTTGTTGATCAAGATTTATAAAACAAAGTTTTTGATCAAGCATAAAAATTACCTTGACTGCTCAATTCTGTGGCTTTCTTGGGCTTGAGGCATTCATCTGGAAATAATACATTTTGTGGTAGTTAGATATTGTTTTTTTTTTAATGTGTAATACCAATATTTCCTCGATTGTAAGCTGTGTGATTCTCACACAAATTAAAACTTAAAATTAATTAAAGTTTGGGCTCTAGATTGAGGGGGTCTTGGCTTATAGCCCACAGTTTTAAAAACAAAATTTTTTCCAGCACATGGAAACTCTACTAAATCTTGATGTATTCACTATTATTAGCCAAGCTAAATTAAAGAAACACAATATGCAATCGTTGGTTATTAACTTTTACGAATGTGGTGGCTCCTAAAGGAGCCGTTTGTTAAATTTAATGTGTTTTCACAGAAGTCTTTGTTGTCATCAGCGTTCGTCATCAACTTTGCTGTCTGTGTCAATTTCTTCTTTCATCTCCTCATCCTCTCCGTCAATTTCAGGACGGTCGTAGATGGCATTGTCTTCCATTCCTTCAAGTGCATTGGAGATGCCACAAGTCTTGAAGGATCACCTCACCATCTCTTTAGGAATATCGCTCCAAGCCTGCTTTATCCAGGGAAGGACCAGGTTTCGGGAAAGAGCTTTCCTCTTGCCAGCTGGAGTGAACTCGAAGGGGCCTAATATCAACCATGAAAGGTAGTGCCTTCGCATGTTCTCTTCAGGCACTTGTCCAAAGTCTGTAGCACTGGAGTCAAGCAGTGGGGAATCACTGCTGCATCAATCCATTGCTGCTGCAAATGTTCCTTCACTGGCTCTGTCAAGTGAAAATGGAATAAGTCCCAAACCAACAACACCACTCAGCTGTAGGACCTCTCGGTCGGCATGCACGGACCCATTGCTTAAGATAAAGAAGAAATAAAAAACAGAACTCATAAGTCACAAAGAAAAATTCTGTATCTTGTTTGTAAAAATTGACTGCTAATTCGCACTGAATCTTGCCCGTTCATTTGTACAAATCAACAGATAGAAAGAAATCTAAAGTGACTTTAATTAGCTTACCTGCTTCATCCATCCATCCCTGTTGGTGGAACAACAATCAAGGCCTCTGGGAGTTCAAACATCCTTGAAGGTCACTCAAGGCGGTTACAGTTTCTTCCCATCAGCAGCGCCAGTTAGTGTGATGGTGAAGCTCGCTTTTTCTCAGCACCACAGCATTTCACAGGAACTGGTCTATTGTCACTGAATCTGAGAGTGCGACTGGATGGTAGTAGTTCAAACTGCATATTGGTGTCTCGTGCAATTGTTAAAGATTCTTGAGGGGGAATAACTGTTATGCTGACGGGCTGCGATTACAAATCGATGGAACTTGACTGTTTGTTCCTCCAAATTAAAATGTTCTTGGGACCAAGGTGTTACTGTAAAACTCAGAAAACTAAACACCAGTATTCGAATGGTCATGGTAAAATAGAAGAATAATGTTTTATTTGACAACTTTGAAATTTTAAATAGAATCACATAATTGAAAAAAAATCTCGCATTCTGATTGGTTAACGAAGCGAGGTATTTAGCATGGAATTGCAAATTGAAAACAAGGCTAAAGTAATATAGTTTTGCATCTACGTAACAACTATGGTCAAATTCTAGCACAACAACCACAAAAAAGTTTTTCTACAATGTCATTTTAAAATGTTTTCAAAACCATTGCCACCTTTTGAAGAGCCAAAAACAAACAGAAGTGTTTTACAAAGGGAGCTGGAGGTTCTTCCTTGTTTTTGAACAGAACTACAAATTCTTGGAAAGGCATAAAAAATGTCTTTTGCTCCGTGACAACAAGAAAGCAAGAAATTCCTGTGAATACGGCCCAAAAAATCACCAGCAAATGTTCAACCAAACAAGATGGAGAAGCAGCAAATTAATACATATACATGTATTTACATTTCAAGGTTCTTACCTTATATATTAATTGCAATGTTAAACTTTCAGTGCTTTCACTTGGAGATTAATTTCTTTCAGTCTCAAGCAAATGATTTGGAAAATTGAATATAATAATAATTTATTATATATTAGGCGCAAAACAGGGTTCAAATATATGATCTAATGCGCACAGAGAAATTGAGAAAAGATATTATAGATAAATGCCAATTCAGTGAAAAACCACCGTTTATCCTTAAGATTAGTGTGAAGTTTGAAAATAAAATGTAAAAACAAGCACAAGGTACAAATAAAGTTGTGTCAGTTGTCAATTAAGCTATGGTTCAAACATATGTGACTGACCTTGCTTCTTATTTGCTAACGCAATGACAGTTCTGACAGTTGACTTTGAAATGGCTATCTGGAGTGTGCTGCTCTTTTTGTGTTATTTTTATTCAACTATGCGATTCAAGGAAAATCAATTACCTGACTTGTGAATTCGATGTTAAATTGCACTTATACCTGCCAACTCTCACGCCTTAGGCGTGAGTCTGACGCCTGCGGGTTGAAAACTTCGATCTCATGCCGGCTCACGCCTGCAGGCCAATTTCTCACGCCTGATTGAAAAATGTGAGTTGTTGCCATCTTGCTTGACACAATTTCCAAAAATATGTTAACTCAGACCCATGTAAGGAACAAAAACCAGGTGTAAAATGAATAAATGACAATACCTTCCTCGCGATCTCTGATTTTTATCAACTAACGTCGGTCCTTGTGGATAAGCGTTTTCTCGATAACTTCGCCTTCGGTAGACTTCGGACGTCTTCGGAAGACTTCGGACTTCTTCGGGAATCTTCGGAAATGATCGTGTCGTCTTCAAAAATTCCAGCACTCCCAGGATAAAAATCTCACGCTTATATCTCAGAAAAAGTTGGCAGGTATATGCACTTGAAAACCAATATTGCACTCACTGCTTCGTGATTTGTGCAATATTCTAATGAAATCTTGTCCAATTTGATGAAACTTATTTCTGAAAATTTTATGAGTGTTACATTGAGAAAAAGACATTCACGCAAAATCTAAACCTCGTTATTTCATTTATTTTAGTAGCCACCATTAATACTATAGCCTGTCAATTCTACAGTAATTAATGTGTTGTACCAATTTTCTGTGATTGCTAACCAAGCACAATGATTGAAATTCATTAGAAAGTGAAAAAAAAACAACTGCTCTACATTCCTTAAACCATTGCCTTCATTGTGATATTAATGTAATAATATTTACCTTCCTTTCTCCAGGGGAGGTCGTCTGTGCCATAGTCATAACGGATTTCTGTGCCTTTTTCGATGTCTTCAGCCGCAAATAGACAGAGGTATGTCTTATTGTCTAAGATGATTTTCCTCATCACAGCATTTGCCTTTGTCCTAGGGCTGTCATTGACAATCCGTCCAAGACCACTTGAATAAGTGGCGTCAATGCTGAAAAGTGATTTTTGATATTGATTTATTACTTAAAGGAGCCAGATTATATTATTTCTCGATTGCATTGATGTTTATCAAAATGCATTGAGAAATGTATGGTACAGGAAAACATTTATTTCAATTTATTGTAAATTGTAAATTCTTTATGAAATTGTACAAGTTTTAACCATTTAGGTATACAATTAACCATTTAACAGGCAATCGTACATAAAGACCCTCGTGGGGTAAACGCTCTTTAGATTGTGATTTGGCCCCTGGACTGTTTCAATGCTTTATACATGAAGTAGTTGTTGTGACTTCACTTTCAAATGGATTTAACCCAAATCTGCACATTCATCTGTTCCTGCTCCTGCCTGTGATGTAGATATGATTTTTAACGTGGGAGCACTGTAGGCAACAAGTTGCAACAACACGTCGCAATGCAACTTTCTCAATCGTGCGAACATTGCCTTAACTGTCAGTTGTTAGCATTGGGGTATCCAATAAATGCAAAAAAGTCGGCACTTTTTGCAAATGATTACCTTTTGAATTTGGACAAGGACAAAAATGACCGTTTTTGACATCGTAGAAAAACAAGAAAAATCAGGTTTTTTGCCTTCAGGTTTTTTACAGAAATTATCGTTGCAAAACCAAAAGTCAACATTCACAGTAAAATTCAATCCTTTTTCTAGCTTAGAAGCGATTTTTTTGCTCTTATTCGTTTACCGGGGCCATTAGCTACAGCCTTTTGTTCTAGTGCATCCTGCCTTTGCATCAATTTTCAACATCACAACTGCGTTTTGTGCCGGGAAATAGCCAGAATTTTTGACAGCAGCCATTCCTTCCTCCACTTTTTTGATATTAATTTATACTAAGTCCGTAAAGCCACTCCGACCTACCACGGAAATTTCATGCTTGTTGTAACTCTCAGTAGTCGCAAATTCCTAAATATGCAGTATGTCAAGAAGTTCATCAGTAGTCAAGTCCTAAAGTGACTTCGTTTTGGAGCGGCCATTTTTCCAGTTCAACGAGAAACAAGCCAAGTTCGCAAAGGAAGTACATCACCTTACTCGCTTCTTTGAGAAAGTGGAATCTTTGCTACTGTCATATGCTTAATGATGCTCATCAGGTAGCCACTAAAGATGAAAAATGGCTGTAAACTTACCAAAAACCGCATACAAACCAAACTTCAGCCGTTATTACAGCTCAATGAAGCAAAATTACTGATGTGAGAATGACGTTTTCAAAAAACTCGAGCCTTCAGTGTATCAGAACAGCGCCGCTTTCCATGGTAACTCCAAATACGAAGTCACGAAATCCTATGGGTTGTTTGTATGTAGAAAATCACTCGAAAACGTAAAAAGTCCTGGGCATATAATGAGTTAAGCCACAGCTTGGCTGGAATCTACTTATTTTGTTAGCTGTAATTTTTCACTTTTTGTGGATGACTGTGGAGCTAGGAATTGCAATAGATGTGATTCTCTTCACATGACCTAGTTCAATATAGTTCAAACCTTGCAATTCTGAAGATAAATGTCTGAGCAAATGAAAACAAATTTCGAATTACTGTACTCTTGTGCTTAAGCTTTCACAAAAAAATCTTACTTTCAGTCTGTAAAAACTTGGTGATTTTGTTATTATTGTTACTTTTTATTTATTAATATTGTACTGCTCCCGCAGTGCATTACACATCCTCGAAAACCCAGGGGTAGTTAGCCTGGACGATAGAACGTTCATGATGATGGAAGTTTACTACACAATCCAGAACAGCACCGGCCTGGGCACTTAGTCTTACTGAACCAGTTCCAGGAAGGTTTGAATTGCCTGCTTCTGATTGGCCAGAAAAATGTTTTTCTGGTCAATCAGCAAAGAGGAACAGCTGGGTGACACTGGTGTAATATTATATACATACTGAGATTTACTCACAGTTTTCAAAGCCTGCATGACAGGTGCTCTATGAGCCAAGCGGGGCGAACGCGATATTTCGCGTGGAGCGCGACACGAGCGCGAAGCGCGACACGAGGGAAAGAGAAAAATAAAGCGAAAGTAAATAAAGCTTTATTTTTCCCTTTCCCTCGTCTCGCGCTTCACACTCGTGTCGCGCTCCGCACGAAATATCATGTTCGCCCCGCTTGGCTCATAAAGCGCCTGTCATGCAGGCTACAGTTTTCTTCATATGAAAACCTACTTTAAAAATTCTGATAGCAAGTCACAGCGAGCGAGATGGTTTTCTCACACATGTGTAAACCTTTTCGTCCAATCAGGAGACTTGTTTTCAACATACCACTGATTTCATTTAAGTTGCTTGCGTGCAAAGCTCCATAGCAAGAAAACATTTGTACCATTAACAATGGCTCAAGGATCCACTAGATTTGAGCATTAAGAAAAGTCAATTTACGACTATATTATCAAGCAACGAAACAAAAATGCAAGGGTTAAAATGATGAGAGATGTGAAGGTACTCATTGAATTTCTGAGATAAAAACACGAACAAAGAAATGCTGACGACATCAAAGCCAAAGAATTAAATGAATATCTCTGCCAGTTTATCCTTAGTGTGAAGCGAAAAGACGGCAAAGACTTTGTGAACCTTCAGGTCCTAGAGGTTTGTTTTCAGAGGTCTGTTTTGACGACGACAATCCACGTCGCAAAGCCTCGCTCGTTAACATTTTGTGAAAACAAACTCGTGGCCAATTTTTCTGCCCAATCAGAAGCATGCAATTCAAACCCTTCTGGAACTGGTTTGGTAAGAGTAATTAGTGCCCAGAGGCTGTTCCCGATTTTATAGTAAACTTTCACCACGAACGTTCTGTTGTCCCACCAACTGCCCTTGGGTTTCCAAGGATGTGCATTACAATACCTACCAATAAGTTCCTTGAAGATCTTTAAAAAAGTATAAAAAATTGCCAGCTTCATCTGGATAGTTCTTTTCCCTGTGCTCCCCTTCACTGCCAGTTATTCTCTCTCCCCTATACTGTAGGAGGAAATCCCCCTTTTTGAAGGGTTCGGTTGCAAAGACTCCTCTTCCTATATAATTTTACAAAGCAAAAGTGGTTATAATAGAGTTTTGCAGATAAAAGCAACACATTGTCAAACAGATAATAATTGCTTGTGCCTACACAACTTATATCCAATACTTGTGGAGGGTAATTAATGGCATGTGCAAATAAAAATGTCAAATTAAGTATTGATCAATTAGTCTTCACTAATTAAAAAAAGACTTTATTTGTCATTATACATCATTATGTCAAAATATTGCATCAAAACACTAAATAACTAAATAGTGTTATGCTTTGGCTAGTGTTTAACATGAATCCATTGGTTGTCTTAATTGATGAATTAGAAAACATATCTTATCACATCAACTTTCACTTAAATATTTTTAAGATACATTTTTTGTTTTCGCCTTTTTTTTAAACTTAATAGTTGCTTCTTCTTTCATGAAAAAAGTAATTGATTTTCTTTGCAAATAAACCAATGTGTTTCGATATATTATATATATAGTAATATATTATTATTATTGTTAATCTATCAAGTGGAACTTACCAATTTTTTCATTAATAACTCTTAACACAAGACCTGGCTGATCTTCTTCTGCCAGGATCCACCTGGTCGCCTTTTCTTTTTGTGATTCTCTTTTTGCCCTCTTAAAGAAGCAGAAATATCCATGTTACAATTTAAGTTGGTGTACTGTATAACAATAAAGATGTTCATAATATTTTATTGTTTAAATACTTTTGTGTGTGTGTTTTTAAAATAATTTAAATTAATATAGACATGGCACTATTAATTTTAGGAAAAGGAATGGAAGGATGTAATCTAAAACATTGTTTTCAGAAGTAAAATATCATAATTATAAGTTATTGCATAAACAATGGTGACCATATTATGGTTTTTTTTGTCTTTCAGAATGTCCTCTTAAAAGCAAGTGTGTTTTTCATGTAAGTTTTAAAATTGTTTTATCAGAATTTATATTGGTAGTAATCTGCCATTTGTGCTGTTGTGCTTTGCTTATTACTGTACCTGATGAGACATGTCATTCCTGATTCCTAGTAAACCTGTTGAGCACAATATAAACAATGAATAATCTGTTAGACAGTGAAGGTTTTTTATGGGGGGAGGGGCATAATAAATTATTAATTAAGTATCGGGTGAAGCAATATTTTATTAAGCAAAACTAAAATAATAAATGTGTGAAAATAAATAAAATATTTAAGACAGGGCTGTCATTAAGAGCTGGGGGCTGGGGAACATGGCCCCTGGGTACTTTCATAATAAAATAGAAGACAAATAAATCCAAAAGAAATCCCTAAGCTGTTTGATTCCCTGCTTACTTGTTGTATTTTCCTTGGAAGAATTAGGCATAATTTATGATCTATGATTGGGTCTGGTTAAAGATTTTTCTTTGGCAATCTGGGTTTATCTCTCTGTTATATTACTGCAGTGAAGTGTTTACTGTACTGCGTGCTAAGTTATAGATCTGTCTTTTTGAATAGTGATTCCTTTAATGTAATAGGCCACTTGCAGTAAGAGGTCCCATGACCAATGCTTCCTTTAAACAATGAGTTGGAATCTTGCTGATGCCAAAAATTGACGGAGCCCATAAGGAAATACATTTAAGAGAGATATTTTATCGCACTTTTTATTTTTCAACAAAGTAGTATGATATGTATCGGTGGCCATGTTGGAGGGCATACTCTTGCCCTCCAACATTGCGGCCGAAACTATTTTTTGCTTATATCTTGTTAAGCGTTTGTTAGTTACACTCAGATGTGCTGTAAACGTTACCACATCAATTTTTCAACATTTTCCTTGAACTTTAAGTGCAAAATTTCTGTTCAGGAAGAGGTAATTTATAATTTTTTTTTTTTAAAAAATTGGTCACGTGACCAGCTACGAACTTACTCATTTTAAGAAAACGGTGCGGGTTTGAAGAACTAAATCACTATTATTTTGTGTAAGATATGACCCACTAATCGTTTTTCGAAGGCAAAATCATGTAACTTTCATTTTCATAAAAAAAAAATGTCACATTGAAAGTGCAAATGGCCTATTGCGTAAATTTTGATGGAATGGGTGTCAAATACAGTTTACAACCTTAGCCCCAAAAAGTTGTCACAAGGGAAAGGAAAGACAATTATATTCCATCTCACTAGAACCAGAACTGCTAGGGAATCGTTAAAATAGGGTTACAGACTCGATAAGTTTTCTTATTTATTGACGCCTAGATTTTTTTTGTCGGTTTTGTGAAATCGATTAGGTGGCGAATTTGATCACCTAACGGCAAGAACTGCGGTTCCTAACAAGCAAAACGAAAAACAATTTTAACCCACCCTGAATGAGACATACTTGATACACAACCTAAAATTGTATATTTAAGAAAATAACAAAATCTTGGATCGTTTAAACACTTTTTTCCTCGGCCGATTGAAGACTAGTTGGCAATGTTAAGAGCACGGCAAATAATTTGAAGGCTGCTTAAGCTTACATAAACTTACTGCTTATTTCATGAATGAAACATACTTCATGATCAACCCAAAAGTAAGTACTAATGTAGTCTGTTAATGAAAGAAACGATCTCATTTATTTTTTGCGCGTTTTTGCTGAGCTGAACCCAAGGCCCTTTTTGAAGAAGAGGAAAAAAAGATAGCCAATTGTTCAGAAAAAAGATAATTTTAAGGGCGTGGCTCTTACTTAACAAGATTTATTGCATTTTCCGGATAAAAATTTCGTCCTAAAACACTCATTAATAGGTTTACTCACCCTTACCACGAATGCCAGAGAGTTTCTTTCCCGCTCCGCGAAAAAAGACTTGACAGAGAAGAACTGCACGTTTTTCCAACAGGTGCGCCCTTTTCATCTTCCTCTCACATGACTACATAAATTATGGGATGCACAATACGACTTTGACAAACAAGAACCTCATCTTTAAGTTACTTAAAAATTCTCCAAACTGATCTCCATACATTTCCCGAGATAACAAGTTGAGAGAATTTGATCAAGGCTCAAAACACTTTTCCTTTGGTGTTCATTTAATTAATTCTTGTAACCTTTTATCTTGATCATGTGTTGATATTATATGGAGAAAATCCATGTTGGTCACTCTCAGGTTAAAGAGTTAATGATCAAAATTCTCTTTCTCAATAGCGACGGATCACCTTGACCTCTTGGCCCAGAAGAAAAACAACCTCGAATCCTTGGAAAAGCCCTGGGGATGAGGGGATAGGCTTTATTACCAGCCGCTGTACGGGAAACGAGCCCGCGCTTCTCCCAAAAACTGTACTTGCAATGAGAACAGCACTTAAACGAAGTGAGAAAAGGCCGATTCGGTGTCTGGTACAGAAAACCAAGATTTGTTTGGTGTTGGAATGCCTGAAGGCACGGAATAGGACAATTGCACGATGACGTCATTTTACTACAACTACCAGAATCCTTGAGTTTGTTGTTTTCTTGTGCAAATTAAGGCTATTGTTCTTTAATCCTCAGTGGGATTGAGAAATTTAAATAACAAAGCAAAACCGAAATGAATTCTGGTAGTTGTAGTCAAATATCGTCATCGTGCAATTGTCCTATTTGTGTGTTGGATCGCAAGGTGCGTGGTCCAGCTATGTATTCAGTTGATGCAACTGTCAATGGAGGAAAAGGTGTTTGACTTAACGTAGAGGTCACGGGTAGAGAATTTTGGCATCCCGGGCGGTACTAATGGTAAACTTGACTTGGCCGCCATCTTGGAAAGTTGAGAGGACCTGGGAAGGAGTGATGAGCGTTCCTTTGTCCTGGAAAGTACTTAGAGCGGTTTTCACTTGACTGTCGTAAAACCAAAACCAAAGTAAATACACTAGCCAACCAAAGGGCGTAGTAAAACTAAAACCAAAACCAAAACCAATCCCTTTCGACAGTCAAGTGAAAACCGCTCTAGAGTGCGAACGCAGTCCTTATTACGCTTAGTGTAATGCCCTGGAGGGGGGAAGGGTCCTCAACCAATACTAGCCGCTGAGGGTTTGAAAGCCTGACCCTGTTTAGGGCAAAAAATTCTTCAAATAAATACTCTGTTTAGGACAACTCCCTCAATTTTATTACCCGATCGTGCATGAAACACCCTGTTTATAACAGGCCTTTTTACCGATACGGCAGCCATATTGAATTAATTCGACTTAAGGAGTATTATAGGATGCCCAGGGGAGCGCTTTTCGGGACATTTTTTCTTAAAGTTTTCTTAGAATAAGATTGTGATGGGAAAAAAGATCCTTGTGCCGTGTTTGGATGTAATAATGTTCGCCTTTTTCTAGTTTAGTATTAGAAATGTAATCTTTCACTGTCTATTTCTCGGAAGAATGGCGATCATTATTACATCCAAACACGGCACAAAGATCTTTTTTCGCATTACAATCTTATTTAAGAAAACTTTAAGAAAAAATGTCCCGAAAAGCGCTCGAAAATACAAACGAAATGCGCTCATACCCCCTGGGCATCCTATAATACTCCTTAAATCGAATTAATTCAATATTGCCGCCGTATCGCTAAAAAGGTCTATTAGAACAGACTTGCACATATCATGGGCACTGTTTAGGACAGACTTGGCGAAATTGTATACCCTGTTTAGGACAGGAAGGACGAAAACCATGCCTTGTCCAGCGGCGCATCCCCGTAAAGGCCATATAAGGAAGTATGTGCTCGTGTCAGCAGATCAAGACCACTCTTCCACTGAAGTCAATAGTATTGAAAACTGGGCGGTAAAAAACTGTACGAAACTATACCTCAAAGACCTGGGAGATGTTACGTTGGCAGGATTTCTAAGACTTCCACCTTAAGTGCAAGGAATTGAATGGAAAAGCTGGTTGAAACTGCTTGGCATAATTTTCGAGAAGAATCCATCGGACTGGGAGTTGCCGTTGATATATTTCACGGGTCTGTAAATATTTTGGGTATCCTAAAGATCAACTGACAAAATTATTTCATCTGGGGTGGGATGCTCCCTTTCAAGGAAAATATCTTGATCGTTTTGACAATTTTTCAAACGTTCTTTTAGGTTTG